GATTTGAAATGGCTAATAATTTTAGCTTGCTTGGCTCCACAATCAACACTCCTGGCACCAGCAGTCAGAAAATAAAAAAACAAATTGCACTGGGAAAATATGGTGTCAGGCACCTTTCCAGAGCACTAAAGAGCACCAATGTCAGCCTAGAGGTTAAGGTACGCCTGATCCAGGCCATGGCCTTCACAATTACTGCATCAGAGAGCTAAACAAAGACTATGGATGAAAGAAGAATCGATGTCTTTGAGTTGTGGTGCTAGAGAAGAGTACTGGACATGGCTACCAAGAGAACAAACACGTCTGTCCAGGAGAGGGTGAGACCAGGCTGCTCCTTGGAGACAAAATGTTGCACTGAGAATAGAAAGGAACCCAAATGATACTGTAATCTCAACATTTTATTCTCAGCTGCTAATCTGTCAACGAGTAAAAGGTTTCCAACTTTTCAGAACCAACTGGTGGCATTGTGGGGAAAAGCCGGCTTCTGAGCTGTGCCCACTCTCACCCGGTCTTTTCAGGCCCCTGCTGAGTCTCGCCCAATTGCACTCCCTGATCTCAAAACTTACTACACAGCTGAACCAGACCAGTACGGTACTGGTGCAATGAGAGACACTGACCAGTGGGTCAGAATGGAGAACCCAGAAATCAACCCGTGGCTGACCTGTGGTCAACGGGTATCTGACAAGCAATCACACCTACCAGATGGAGAAATGACCACCTCTTCCACACATGGGGCTGGCAAAACTGGCGTCTAACTCAGAAAGCAGAAGCAGGATCTACACCTCACACCGTACACAAAAATCAAATCAAAGGGGATCAGAGACCCAGAAGTAAAAAACCCCTGACCATAAAACCATAAGGGACAAAGTGGGACCAAAAACCCCACCAAAGAGCGAGCCAGCGATCCGCTTCTGTGAAACTTGCAGGACAGCAATTCTCTGGGGCGGTTCTGCTCTATGCATTACGGCACGCTGGGTCAGATCCAAAGCACCAGCACACAACCACCACCAGAGTCAAGATTAAGGACCCAGGAAGGCCCCCTCAAAACCCTTGATGGGCTCTTTCTCAATCACAGCCCTCTCTCATCCTCTCTCAATTAGCTTACCAACAAGGCATACATCTCTAAGCGACAGTTTAACTTACAATGTTTTAAACTTTATAGGAAGTGGGCTCCTATGCCTGGGTTCCTTTGTCTCACTGGTTGCAGTCTGGAAGGTGGTGTGCTAACCTCAGAGCTGCACCTCTGTGCTGGCCTGAACCCACAGTGGCTCCGAGCGAGAAAGAGGGGCAATCTACGCCTGTACACTCACCTCCCCAAGCCCGGGGGAGGGTCTGCTAAGCGTTGACTCCACCTTCACAGCAGAGGGTTTGGGATTTAAATATTGGGAGTGGTCTCTGGTCTTTAGAACTGGCAACTAACTGCATATACACTTTGCAATGTTTATTCTGATAATCAACAGAGGTCTTTTCTTCTTAAAAAATTTTCCAAAACAAAATCCAACACACTCTTTGGAAATGTGAAGGTAGTTTCAGTTTTCTTACACAAGCTGTTCTATCATTATGAGCACACGGTCATTTGAAACTGAGCTTGGCGCTATTTTATAAAAAAGTCAGAGGTGTGAATTAATTTCCAAAGAAGAATGGCTCGAACAACCCCCCTCCCCACCTCCTCCTCAGGAGAAAGCTGGGCAGTCTCCTCCTCCAGGGCGATGTGCAGCCTCTGAAAGCCCAGCGGAGGGCCTGCCAGGGGTCCGTTCTGCCTCCGTGGTAAGGAGATTTTTCTTTCATTCAGTTATGTTGTTAAGGTAATGTTGTCGCTTAGGACCTGCTCGTTCACTTTACTCCTTTACTTCATATCCTGTTGGGCTTCTTGAACTACACGAGTTACTACCGGTAGTTACTCCTCTCCCACCCCACTATTAACGCACTGCTGTGGCTCTCAGAAATCGTGGCTCCTCTACCGGGGAAAGCGACAGCAGTGCTGAGGGAAAACAGGACATCCCCAACACTCTGTTTATGACCAGCAGCCACCAAGGGTCAATAAAGGAGGCTGTTAATCAACCTTTTAAAAGCAGCGAGCCGCTACATTAAACATTTCAGCACTGTATCACTTCTGTTGGGAGAAGACGTAAAAATGTAACGCGGGATGGTGACTCGGGGAGCAGACACCAGGTGCCACCTCTCTCTCGGGACCAGTGTGCTGCTCCGTGGCTCTCAAGTCAGAATGCGGCTCACCCTGCCCATCAGTCACCTCCTGACTCAGCAGTGCCCAGGGGCCAGCCGCACTTCAAAAAGCTGCTCACAATTTTTCTCTTTTCATAAATGTTTGGCTAGAGGTGATTAGGATAAGAAATTAATTTTTCTATTAGAAAAAGTATGGCAGAAGAGGGAACTATTTAAAAATGTGTATACATGTTCTACAGTAATGATTTTAGACAGTATTTGTCCTTATGTGACTGAGTTAGTTCTTGCAATGGTGAATATTGCTGCTATGAACAATGTACGTGTATGAGGATCCAAGGGGGCGAGAGTGGGAGTAGAGGGGGGAGGATGGGGTGGGGTGGGGGGATAATCATAGAGTCATACAATTTGATGGTGGAGGGAGGGGTAGGTAAAGCAAATGGGAAAGATCCAGTGTGAAAAACAACGTATATAAACCTTGTAAGTAAACCAGTATAAAATAAATGTTTTAAAAAAATAATGTGGATAACTTTTCAAGGTTAGAAGTCATTCCACATCCTATATACAGAGAGCTGAGTGCATGCACACGCTCCTTTGCTCTTACATACACAGAAGTCCTTCGAGAACCAGCGTACGGGCCACCCAAGGCCGAGTACCCGTGTGGCTGATGCTCGTGTCAGATCTCCTCGCCCCAGAAGACGGCGTCTTAGTCTTGTCTTCTCTATTCCCTCCCAACACCACTCCCCTCTGCCCTCCGTGTCCTACCACCAACCAAGAACCTGTGCTCAGCTTGCACCTTCTGAACTTATTTTGTTGAAAGAAAAGAAAACATAAACAAAACCCAAAGTAATAGAAAAGTCTCTTTGCCTCCTTTGGAATGGAAATCCACTAGGAGGGTTGTTTCAGAACATTATCTGCTAAGAGGTTATTTGCTGTTCATACCATTTTCAAGTGACATTAATTCCTCAGAATAGAAAACAGTATGTCTTTTAGTTATTTTTAATAATATGAAGCTAGATGGGTACTAGGGAGGAACTGAACGCAGCTAGAACATTGACCCCGGGCCCTGCAATGCTGTTTTAGTGGATTTCCAACAGTATAGAAGAAAGCAAAAGTGAAAAATCACGCCTTCTAGCAAATGGTCTTGGAAAACTCCTCAGTGCAGAGGAAACAAGTGGACAAGCTGGTTTAGAGCGCCTCCTACTGGCGCACACAACGAATTCTCACCACTGGCACCGTTCAAAATTCTAGTGTTCGTTAAGGGTGCAGGGGAAGAAAGAGGAAAGAGTAAATAAATAAAAGGGTCAACCTGAAAAACAGAGGGAGGAAAGCCATCTATTATGAGTGGTTCTGCCCCTGGTTGTGGTAAGCTTGTTTACTCTGTTCTCTTTATGAATCTGTTTTTTAAAGCACATGGGCCTTCGTTCTCCTCTGAAGGAGGAGGCTGTTGGGAGCTGCATGAACCCAGAGACCACACCTCTCTGGCGGTTCGAATCCACGAGCTGCTCCTGGAGAGAGATGGGCAACCTCCCTTCATGAGCTTTACCAGCTCGGGAATCTGCTGCGGGCTCCCTCACGATGCTTCCGGCGCCACAGCAATGAGTCATGGCTGACTCAGAACACGACTGAGGAGGGTTCTGGTCAGGAAGGGTAGAAACTCGAGCAAAACACTTGCATGAAAAGAGTTTAAATATATCATTTATTTCGCAAGAGAGAAAAAAAAACACAACTCAACAACCCAAACCCCAACCAGCTAGCAAAGCAGAAAACCACAATGGCTTGATTCAGAAGCAGGTCTGGTTCATAAGAGGTGCTGGGAGCGCCAACTATCACACTACAAAAATAGAGGCACAACTGAGAACCATGGGGAAATTTAGGAGCAAACAAGACGACATACCCTATGCATCTATTCCAGGGAAAGTCAAGGGTATCTGTGATTACAAAATGACAATAAATGACTTTTTCTAATTATTAACAGTAATTATCTGTTAAATAAATACATACTCAAAATATACTAATATTTAAAAGGCAAATGATAATTCAGCTTCCATTTAAACTAGGACACTTTAATGAAGGAAGTTGTTTCAAGCTGCACTGAAGACACTGGCAAAAGAACAACACAAAAAAGGCCCAGGAATTGATGGACTGCTAATTGAGGTGTTCAATAAACAGCCTATGTCAAGAAATCTGGAAGAAAGCCACCTGGTCAGCTTGAATGGAAAAGATCTAGATTTGTCCTCAATGCAAAAAAAAAAAAAAAGGTGATCCAACAGGATGTGGGAATTATTGGATGATATAATTAATATTACACACAAGAAAAATCTGGACGATTATTCAAAAAGGGCTGGAGAACTACATGGACAGGGAATGGCCAAAAATTCAAGCTGGATTTGGAAGAGGTTGAGGTACAAGATATATCAATGCTGATGACTTATCTTGGCTGAAAGCAGAGGTGCTTCTCTTGTGTTTTATTGACTATGGAAAGGCATTTAACTGTGTAGAGATCTCAATAAGTTACGACTTACACTGAGAAGAATGGGAATCCCAGAACACTTAACTGCGCTCTTGCAAACCTATACTTAGACCAACAAGCTATTGTTCCAACAGAACTAAGACCATATGTCGTGATTTTAAATCAGGAAAGAAAGGTGTGCATAAGGCACATCCTTTTTCACGCCTATTCAATCTGTACACTGAACAAAGCATTCAAGAAGCAGGAATATATGAAGAAGGTGGTATCAAGATTAGAGGAAGACTCATTAACAGCCTGCATTATACAGATGACACAATCTTACTTGCAGAAAGCGATGATTACTTGAAACCTGCTGCAGAATATCAAAGACTACAGCCTTCAATATGGATCACATCTCAACAGCCAGAAAACAGCACAGCAATCCTCACCACAGGGCCAACAGGAAACATCACCACAGATGGAGAAAAGACTGAAGTTGTCAATGACTTAATTTTGCTTGGATCCACAATCAATGTTGATGAGAACAATAACAAAGAAATCAAAAGACATACTGCATTGGGAAAATCTGCTTTCAAAGAACACTTTCAAAGTGATAAAAAGCAAGTATGTCCGCTTAAAGATTAAGGTGGTCTTACAAGTCACAGTATTTTCAATTACTTCCTAAGAAGTAAAGTTTAAAGATTAAAGTGGCCCTAACCCAAGCTCACCACTGGACCAATTGGCAGCATCAGGATGGATGGCGAAGATATTGAGATTGTACACAGCTTTAGTTTGCTTGGCTCCACAGTCAACACTCTTGGCACCAGCAGCCAGGAAATTAAAAGGCGCATTGCCATGGGAAAGTCTGCTGTTAGGGACCTCTCCAAAGTACTGAAGAGCAATGGTGTCTCCCAGGAGACTAAGGTGCGTCTGATACAGGCCATGGTCTTCGCAATCACTTGTTATGCATCAGAGAGTTGAACAATGACCAAGGAGGATAGAAGGAGGATTGATGCCTTTGAGCTGTGGTGCTGGAGAAGAGTATTGAGAATACCATGGACTGCTAGGAAAACAAACAGATTTGTCCTGGAAAGGGTTAAACCGGGTGGCTCCTTGGAGGCAAGGATTCTGAGGCTCCATCTAACATACTTTGGACATGTTGTGAGGAGAGACAGGTCCTTAGAGAGGGACATCATGCTTGGGAGGGTGGAGGGACAGCGCAGGAGGGGAAGGCCCTCTATGAGGAGGACTGATTCAGTGACTGGGATAATTGGGATGGGAGTGTCGGAGACAGTACGACTGGCACAGGACAGAGCAGAGTTTAGGGCTGTTGTACACAGGGTTGCTATGAGTCGCAAGCAACTCGATGGCACATAACAACAAACAACAACAACCCAAGCTATGGTATTTTCAAATTACTATCTGAGAGTTGGACAATGAATAAGGAAGACCGAAGAGGAAATGATGCATTTGGACTGGGGTGGTGAAGAGTTCTGAGTATCTCATGGACAGTCAAAACATCAGCCAAGCTGTTTTGCAGGAGATGCAATCTGAGTGGCTCCTCAGAGACAAGGCTGGTGAAACTTGGTCTTATATATACTTTGGGTACACAGTCAGGAGGGTCCGTCCAGTCCTTGGAAAACGACATCATGTTGGGAAAGGTGAAGGTTCAGGGAAAAGAGAGGTAGATGCTTTAGTAAGATGAACTGACACAGTGATTGTACAAAGGGCTTGAGCGAGTCGGAGACGATGAAGACGGCACAGGACAGGGCAAGGTTCTGTGGTTCACAGAGTGCCTATGTGTTGTGGTCAACTCAATGGCACGTAACAGTAACACCACCACGGTAATTCAAGTCAAGGTTTCAAAACACAGAAGCATCTACTATTCAGCAGGGAAAAAAAGGACTTTTGGAAATGGAGGATTATTTTCTTAAAAAAAGAGAAGATCTGCTTTATAGGACAAATCTAAACTTGACATGTGAATGGCATGTGTTTACTTAAGAAAAGAGCTCAAGAGAATTTTTCAAAGTGGTGAGCACACAACGTTAATACTGTAAAATGCTGACAAGCCCTGATGTGGGACAACAGAGTCCATTTGCTAATCAACAAGTATTTGCCCTTACAGTGATTATCTTCCTTTAGGAACTCTAAGTTCGGGGTCCCTCAGTGGTACAGCTACTAGGTTAACCCCATCAGCAGCTAACAAAAAGATCTAGTGATGTAGTTCAAAACATCCACCAGTGAGCACACAGCTGTGGTCTGACCACACTGGTAGCGCCATGTGACAGTTAACAGGATGGTAAGGCGTTTGTTCCTCCTACCACCAACACGTACAAGGAACGTGTGTAAACACTCCAGTGTTCAGTTATTTATAGGTTTCCTATATCCTAAACACAAGGCCCCAGTGAATCCTTGTCCCTGGTCCTGACACTGGGAGGTAATGCTGCTCTTCCAAAGACAATGGCCTTGAGGGGGGGCTATTCAAACAAGTGCATTTCAAATCCTGAAACCAGACGCACAATGTGAATGAGGAATAGTGTGAAACACAATGTACATAAACTTTGTAAGCAAACAAACCAACCCCTAAAAATATGGATTTAAATGAAGACAGAAATTAAGTTATGTATTTATAAGAAATAAAAAATAAACCTAAGAAATGGAGGTTACTGCCTAGACTATCTGAGCCCAGAAGGGCAAAGAGCTGCCTGGGTCAAGTGGCCATGTGGAACTGGATTCCCACAGATAATCATCACATCCATCGGTACCCACAAAGGAGGGAGTTCACCTACAAGGGCTTTCTGATTTTGGTTCTTAATCATGATTCTACTCCACCAAGTGGGGGGAGAAAAGGAAAACCAGTCAGCCCCTCCTCGTCTCTTACCAAACAGTTCTGCTCAAACAAAGTTCGTATTTAAATGTGATTTGATATTATTTTCTGCAATTAGGCACCTATCTATACTGGTTTCCACAAATGGAGTGATTTTCAGTTTTACACTGCATCACCAACTTACGCGCACTTGGGCTGCTTGGTTTAACTCGGGACTGAAAACTGCTGGTTGTTTACCTGGTAGAGGTGCTTGTCTTCTCCACTGTAGACATGAGTCTTGCAAATGTATCGGTCACTTTGAGGCTTGAGGTGGAGAGCTCCAGCTTAGAGGTTGTTAATTCATACAACTCTGGATCCACACCTTATAGTATAAAATGATAGTCAGTGACGGCAAGCGCAAAGGGTTACTCAATCAGCCGTAATCCAAGATGCAACAGGCAACATTCTGTAAACATCTGAGTCTTTCACAAACATAATACATCTTTAGGACACTGGAATGGTGAATTCATTTTTCAAATTAAAACCTCCACTTTCAAGAGTATTTTCATTAGGCCAAAAACAGTTTGAAAAATTGCAATAAAAATGTATACAACAAACCCTCTGCCTATTTAGGAATTTCTCTATGTATAATTTCAGTGAATTTATTACATGCTTCAATGATGTACAGCTGTATCATTATACTTTTCTAAATTCATAAAATATATACTTTGTTATACACATACCCTTAATACTTACAGACCGAGTATCATGCAAATACTCATCAAATTCCTATCTACTATAGAAAACTCCCCAAATTTTTGACTAAATTGTGACAGAGAAGTTCTGTTTTAAATAGGACACATATACTCTCATTTTAGTATTACTAATTCTTAGTGATGCCATAGTATATAGGGTGCTCTGGTGACCCTGCAGCTAAGGAACTGCATTGCCAATCCAAAAGCAGGCAGTTCAAATCCACCAGCTGCTCTGTGAGAGAGATGGGCAGCACCCTCCCCTGTGATTGACAAGCTTTCAGACGCTCACTGGAGGACCAGCTATGAGTGTGTTCCGACTCAACAACATTGAGTTGTATCTGCTTTTGGATTCAAATACTGACTCACCTCGTGGTTTGGATTATTCTCTGTCTCTAACACAAAATATTTTTTTCCTTTATTATTTTTTTATACCAAAAGAACGGGAAGCTAATACAAAGTCTCAAATGTGGAAAGTGACTTAGTTAAATAGGTTCTGATGATCTACAGACAAGAAATCCGAGTATCAAACTTGAAAAAGATAACTTATAAACCACACTGCTCTTTCCTCATGTTAGAGATGGGATGGGTAAGATATTTTCAGAAAAAAATGAGTAAAAATTCTACTTCTGGGTAAAATGAAAATTCTTATACTAAAGGAACAATACTATTTCTGTAGTTTCAGAGCTGAACCTAGCAGCTCTAGGTGCATACTTCTTATATTGGCAAATAAAAATGAAGCTGGGTTAGAGAATTAGATTTACTACAAAAATCTATAAGGACTATAAAAATCCTCTCTATCTTACTTGACTCATCTATCCACGTAACCTTTCTTCATATAATGAAGATTTACATTAAATAACAATGATTGTAAAAATAGGGCAAAGTACAATATTTTAAAGAAAAATTTTATAGTAAAGATAGGCTTTTTTAATATAAAAAGAAACACCCACATTTTTTTTAATCCTACACTTTCCTTAGCATCAAGAAATTACTCGAGAGAAAATGTTGAGTAGTGTCAGGGTGTGAGGTGAGGAGACTGCCAGGAATAACCGATGGCTCCATCCATTTTTACTTGTCTGTAGAATTAGGTAAAATGATACACAAATGCGTATTTCACATTAATAGCTTTCCTCCTCTTTTATGTTTTGAAGGAGAAAGAAGCAGAGATTATGTTCTAGTAACCAGTTCTGAAGAGGCCTAGCCAATACAGAGAACTCAGATGTTTACAGAACTCAAAACGAACACAAACCAGCTCCCACAGACACCATCTCCACCAGGGAGGCAGGCTACGGAAAATGCACGGGGACTCTCCCGAGTTCTGAATATTTCACTCAGGTGCAGAGTCAAGAGACATTTTTAAAGGCCTTTTCTTTTCAGGTCTAGAAATATACGCATTTCAATTAAAATGTTTAAAAAGTTGCAGATGCCTAGAAAAGGGACATAACTTCCTCCATTTTGAAAGCTTAAATGCCAATTTGTCACCAAATTCAAGTTACTCTCTAAGGTGCAAGGCAGAAAAACAAACAACTGGCAACACGAAGGGCTGGTAAAAACTTGGGTGGGTCTGTTAAACCCAACTTTGAAATAAAGTGAGAGATTGGAAACAACAACAACAATAAGCAAAGACACTCCACCCCTAGTCCCCAATACCCACAAAAATACAATTCCTTACTATGGCTTTATTTTTTAAAAAACAAAGCATCTACTCACTGCACAGTAATATGATTTATGGGTTTGTTTTTGTTTTTTTTTTAAATGGAAGAAGTTTATTGAAAAAGAAAATTTAACAGACCCCTAAGGAGGCAGTTTTAGTTAGGTAACAAAGCTAACCAACCAAGTTCTATGCCAGCCTTCTCAGGCTCACACACAAGGTATTAAATAACTGGCAAGCTAGGACAAAATGACTTTCCCAGAAACAAGTCAGAAAAGGTGCAAGCAATGCTAAGGAGGGGAAATGCAATGCGGAGGAAGGCGCGGACACCTGGAGCTCAAGGGGAAATTTTAACCAAACCCAAATAGCAAGAGAAGAAGCCAAAGCAAATTTATAGTCATCAAATTTATAGAATAGCTAGAGCATATTAATGAACATACTGAAAGAAAACTTCTCAAAGATTCCAAGGTAATGAGAACTGAGGAATGAGTAATCGGACTTTCACTGCAGCTCTAAGTTTCTGAAATGGCTGCTGTGAAAACCGTGCGCGCTGAGTCTGGGTATCAGGTCATCTCTGCATTTCGGTGTGTGTTTATCTGGGACCCCTATGGATGGTTTTTCAATGAGGTTGACAGAGAACCAAAATGGAAATTTGAATCGGGTTTTTAGGCATCCAAAAAAAAAGCGTGTTTCCTTAAGTGACAATTAATTGATGACAAAACAAAGTTGAGAGCAAATTTTAAATGGGAAGTTAGGAATTAATTCTTGGGGAAACAGTAATGAAAAAAGGGATACAAGTTGCTAGGGTGTTATTTTTTTCTCTCTCTCCATTAAGTATTAAAAAGTGTTTGATAACTAATTAGCTCACTCAGCTCATTCTACATTATCAAATTCATTTAGATGTAACTTAATAATAAAAGATCATTCTGAGGTCAAAACCAGATACAGTTTGGTTTTTCACGTGCTCACAAAAATCTTGAAATCCATAAAAATGTTAACCAGAGATATCAAAATGGGGTCTGAGGAACGGGTCAGCCTCTCAAAGGTCCCCTTTCGTCCCTGCAGCGGGAGGAGACTTCCATACCAGACCTCGGGGAAGGCCGGAAGGCCCCAGGGCCCCCTTCCACTGCCTCTCTGTTCTCTGCATAGCACGTGCTGGCTCCTACACCGCTTCAAGTGAGCGCAGGGGAATCTTGTGGGACAGAGAAAAACCCAACAAATTCTCAGGAACCAGGCTGATGGCAGGCCATGTTTACTGCGTTACGTTAGGATGACAAGGACTCATTAAAAATCATATGAAACAAAAGGTAAACATAAAAAATGCCATTATAATTGAAATCTTTTATTCAGTTAGAAAATGACAAAGTACATCAGTCCTTTGGTCAATGAACTGAACTTTCACAGGGCTGAACATGAACTGAACAGGCATTCTAGCAAGTTATACTTTCTAGCTCTTGGTCTCTCACAGCATTTCCTGTCTACTATTCCCTCCTGTAGCAATTTCCCCCCATGGCAAACAGTAGACTTTCTATTTAAGAGCTACCAAAAAACCCTCCAAAAACCAATAATAAGAATTCTACTTGAACTATGTAACTAAGAGCCAGAACCCAACATTTAGGAACCTAATTATACATTTAGCAGCACTAATAAACAAATAAAACAATAGTTGAATTTATGAAGGTTCTATTATCACAGGCACTACTATTTAAAGTAATCTGTGTGTAATAAACTATTCTTCTATCTTAAAACCTGTATTTTTTTCTTTTTTCAAATAGAGCTACAGAATATGCTTCAAAAAATAAGTATACAAAATTTCATATTTTCCACTTCAAGGGCAGGGGCTGGGTGGGGGAATCTTTGCCTTTAATGGTCTAAGGACATTTGGGGTTTTTTTTCCCCTCCCAGAAATGACTTTCAGCTCTGGATGGGAGACTCTGAGAAAACTTTCCTTAAAATACATCTCAGGTAAGTTATTTGTTGTATAGTAAGACACCGGAAAGTAACAGCAGGGAGATTAGAGAGCAGCGTCAGAAAGACGTTACAGAGAATCCCGTCTAGTTGCTTCCTTGTTTATAGGAAAGTCAAGTGACGCGGTCATGCTTTTAGGAAAAAAACTAGAATTGTGGTTTGAACACTCTGCTGACCTGGGATGGTGGTGGCGCTGCCAGAGCAACTGTCATCCACGGGCCCAAAGAAATCAAGGTTCAGAAGAGTGGAACCTCCACTAGCTTGGAATTCAGTGACCGTGTTGGTAGGCAGCCACACAGAAGGGAAGCCAAGGGAGCAGGGGTTATGTGTAAAAAGGGGTAAGACACACACTTGAACATGCAGGTTAAAATTAGTAGTCATTACACATTTTAAAAAAACCAACATTAAAACAATGTGTACAGTATTAGTTCTTCATTACTATGGACATTCTAAAGTAACAACTTCGTTCAGTATACAGTCATTTCCTCATGGACAGTCTAAGTAATTTAACATGGAGTAAGGTTTTAGTTAAAAGGAATTCAGTTCTTTCAATCAAACTGGAAGCCATACTAGAAAGACCACGGGCGAGAAGTGTACACGTTAAAGGGAAACAATACTTGAATCATAATCCAGCATGGGGACATCATACGTGCCCATGTCAATCTTCAACATTAGTAACATTGCTTTCTAATCAATGATTTTGAAAAAGGAACAAAATTGTCGGTTTCGAGACACTCACCAACCACTATGTTAACTTAGTTTAAAATAAAATAACATCATTGGGAATGCCATAACTACCCTATTCTGGTGTGTGATCTTAAGGTGTACTGTTCCCCTTTAACTCTGAAACAGCAATTAGAAATAGGATACATTTTTAAGAAGTTGGTTGTTAATAGAAAGCATGATGACTTGACTGAATTGAGACACCAGACAACAGCAAAAGGTGCATCCAGGCTTTCCTTCTGCAATATGTTATTCAATTGGATGCTTTCTGGATATCCTAGGACCCCCCCTCTCCCCCCAGCCATTCCCCCCAGTGTAAGGCAAAGTTGACAGAGTGACAGGTATTTCTGGAGAGGTGTTCTGTTCAAACTACCCATGAAGTACAGGAATTAACAGTAGCTGTACTGTGGCGTCCTCTTAAAACTGGTGATTATCACACATTACAACACCAGCATCCAGTGTTACTTAATTTTAAAGACCTCCACATTTCTAGAGTGAGTTATTCCTTTCTCAAGCCACAGTGAAATCAATTATTTCTGGAACTTCCTAGTAACACTCTGAAATAAGTTTTAGAAAAGGGTTGTGAAAATAATTCATTATCTGCCTGTATACAGGTTTTCTATAAAATATTACTAAATCTGAAACGACTCTGAGTCGCTCAGCATGTTAAGTATTCACACACTATTTTTGGTTAAATAACGGCTCTTGTGCTTTGAAGCAGCCTCTAGTCACAGACTTTGCATTCTAGAAAATTCCCTAAATTTTAAACTCCAGAAAAAAAAAGTTTCAAGTAAATTGGTCCTAGCTAAAATATTATTTAAACTACGGAGATACTTGTAAAAAAGAAAGAAGCTTGTTTTCTACTTAAAGTTTGACTTAGTTTCTACTACTAATATGTAGACATCAACATCGTTCAGAATAGTTAACAGCTGGTTTCTTGAGTAATGACTATTCAGAAAGAAAGCCTGAATTTCCAAAGATAAGAAGTTATGTTCAAACAAAGAGGGAGATCAGCAGAGAGAAGTCTGTCTGAACTTTGTAGCGTTCTTAACTCTAGCTCTGGTGGTAGAGGCTCTACGGAGAGACGTACCATCTAACGGGTTGGTAAGGCCACTGCTACTCCAGTCAAACTGGACGGGTGGGAGACACTCCTAGAATTGGAAACCAAAAAACCAAAATTAATCACTACAGGTTGCAGTAATACAGAGAATTTTTTTTTAAACCTACTATTACAGCAAGATCACTAGACAACAAAGTACGTGCAAACAAAACTGGGATAAATGATACTTTCAGAAAGTTGTCTGAAAACTCTCCAACTGAAATGATAAAACTGACAATACAGCTTACTGATATTTTAAAAGTCACAGTAAGAAATGATGCATCATGTGTTACATTTTCAAACAGGAATTTCTGGGCCGGTTCTCACAAATCATGATTTAAACTATTGATTACAATAAAACTGTTAAAAGTACTAAAAACTCCTTGTTTTTACTAATGAGTGATCTAATAAAATATATGTCAATCACATCCAACATCAGGAGTTATTTGGACATGTTAATTAACTTTCCTGTGTTTGCTTTAGAACATCTAAACAAATAATGTAACATAACAAAAAAAGGTACCATATTAAAAAGTGAGGAGATTTCAATTATTCAGATCCATGTGATCATTAAATAACTAGCTGCCCAACGCTGAACAGTTCCCTTCACTTCGGGAGATCATTTTGAAGATAAAGTCAGAAAGTCCAAAGTCTTTGGTTCTTCACAACTTTTCAAATCTTGAAGAAAATGATGGGCTACAGGGGTGATTTTCAAGTATTTCTTTTCAAGTATTTATTTTAACTATTTTCTCTAATTTAGAAATAACTTCTAATCAGAAACGTAATTTTAAAATAAGCATTAAAAAAGGATACTCAGAATTGTTTCAAATAATCCAACCTTTAAATGTCATAACTGCCAAAACATATAAAATGAGCAAATTATATATATATAAATATTATATATATTATATATAAATATATATTTATTTATTTCCCCACCCCCCCAACTGAGCACTGGATCACTTTAAGAATATATTTTGAAGACAAATATTTTGGGAGTACTGACTTTCTTTTTGAGGGATGTAGTGCTGACAACATTCATGGATGTAATCTGTTTTAGGAGATTTTATACACATACATGTGTGAGGAAATGAAAGGAGTTTTAGAACAAAACAATGTCTCTGTGTGCAGGTCTGGGCAGAGCCCAATGCCCCTTGTTTGCTCTCGTCTGTAAAGTACTTGCTATTACGCTTTAGCATATCGGTGGTTTTTTTTTAAAGTCCAAACCCCACTTGTTGTCATGACATCTGTTCTGACACACAGTAATTCCACGCATTACAGAGCAGAACTGGTCCCCAGGCTTTTGGTCAATCATTCATACACATTCCATCTTATGTCATTAATTACACTTGTTGCTGTGTACTGCCGAGTCGGAACCGGCCAAAGCTGGCCCTCCAGCAGGTTTCCAGAGGTTGTTAATCGCATAGGAGGAGACTGCCCATCCTTCTCCCAGGGAGCAGCTGCTGGATTTGAACCACTCCACAGGCATTCTTAAGGAGAGTCCGCCAGGTTGTTTTTTTATGCAGTGCCTTTAGGTGGGCTGGAACCCACAATCTTTAGGTTATACACTGAATGCAAGCCATCTGTCCCACTCAAGGACCTTGACAGTATGACAATCAAACCCAAACCAAACCAACTTCCCCGCTGCCAAGTCAGGACAAACCACAGCCCACCCTCCGGTGGGTCTTGGAGGCTGTAAACTGCACAGGAGGCGCGTTCAGCCCCTGGTGGCTTTGAACAGCGGGATGTGGCCTCTGGGTCAACAGGGCAGCTCTCTAGCGACCTTGCCACCCCAGCTCTCCTGTGTGACTGCTGCTGTGTACCACTGCCTCGGCACTGACTCACAGCTCACATTTGGACTGCGCGGAGGAGACTGCTCACCTTGCCCTTGCAGCGAGCGCAGCTGGTGGAACCGAGCTGCAAGCCTTTGGGCTGCTAGTGTAACTCCTTACCACTAAGCCACCAGAGCAGAGATACTATTAATACTTTATACTTCTTTTTCTCTGGGTAGGTGAAGACAGTTCTCTCTGTAGGGAAAAAGGTACCAAGAAGTAGATTCCCCCCCACCTTTCTTTTCATTATTGTGTGCTGTTGAGATGGACCAGACTGGCGAAGGAGGAGACTTCCCATCCTTCCACAGCATCTGGCGGATTTGAACCACATGCCTTTGGGATTGCAGCACAGCTTCTTGCCACTAGGCCACCAGTGTGCCCTTCAAGAGGTGTTTTTGAAATTTATTCCTATCATATACTATTTATTATCTTGATAACCAGAATATTATTGATAGGAAAAGTCTAACTGTGTGACTCCAAAGACACTAGGCCAGGCCAGTGTATGAAGAGGGGTCGTAGAAACCAAGCAAAATGCTAAATTAATGGCCAAGTGGCTTAGGGAAGACTGGTGGTGTGATGTTTCCTGTTGGGCTGCTCATCAAAAGGTTGATGGTTCAAATACATCAGCTACTCTGTGGGAGAAAGATGGATGATGTTCTCCCATAAGGACTCTCAGCCTTAGAGACACGGTGCAGAGCTGCATGAGGCAGAATCAAGGTAACGGGTCAGGTCTGGCTTGGTTTGGTTTAGGTGTGAGGAGCAGTGGGGAACGGACAGGTGGATTCAACTCTAAAGAGAGATCTTCATGGTGATGGGACTTTTTATCTGGACTGTGGTGCTGATGCCATGAACCTATGTATAGTGGACAGTGAATTAGCCACACACAGTATATTAACATAAAATTTCCAATTTTTATATTATACTCTAACAATGATTAACAACTTCGTAATTATGCACAATGTAGTCACAGGGAAACTGAATGAAGGGTGGACTCCTCTCTGTAATTTCCTGTGAATTTACAATAAATGAAAATTTATTAAATTGTGAATGTTTAGGATAATCAAATAGCACAAATGTCATTTTATAGTAGTGAAAACAAGTATTTATAGTAATGAGAATATTTTAATGCTATTTATAGAAAATGATAATTAACAGAAATTAAATATTAAAAATATTATAAATTACAGAAGTTACTACAACAGTATAGAGAGGTTCCATATATCCTTTCACTCAGATTTTCCTATTTTTAAATTTTACAGAGCAAGAATGCTGGTGAACATTCTAAAAGGGATCACAACACAAGTTTTGGAAAGAGTGGGCCAAAATGTAGAACAAAATGCAAAACCTCCAACAATGTCCCAGCTCAGAGGTTCTGTAAGAGACTGGTGGAACCCCCGAGACCTAGGTCAGCCTTCAAATAAGGAGAACAACTCATCCCAGTGGTGGCTTATTCTGCAGTTAAAAGAAAGCCCCTGTAAGATGATCAATAACACCTGGGGGGGGGGCTCATACCCCCTAGAATAATCATCAACTGAAGATGAAACGGGCAGTGGCTCCCTAAGGATGGAGGTTGGAGGGCAGGAAAGGATAGGACAGAAGGATTCAGGGATGTGAGAATCAAACGGGAAAAGTGGAAAGAATATGCTACATGGTGGGTACTGGAATTAATGTAAAAAACCAAAACAAATTTTTAAGTTTCTCTCAAATCACAATTAAAAAAGAAAAGGATGATGGTGAATATTTTATAATCAACAGCAAATCTGATTAAAAAATTTTAGGAAAGGTCTTTAGTTTATCTCTAACATAAAGACAGACAAATCGCCAAGCATTTTACATATTCAAATGATACAATTTTCCTTCTAAACTAACGATGTTATATGCGTATATTCAACACTAAACGGACGGACAAAGCCCATGTTTACATAATAGTAAAATTTCTGCATAAATGCAGGCCAGTCTTGGGGAGAGTGCAATCCGAATATGCTCTTTGGAGGCAGGAGTGATGAGGCTTCGCCTCTCATGCTTTGGGCATGTTGATAGGAGGGGCTATTCTTTGGAGAGAGAAATGATGCTGGGAAGGGTGGAGGGTCGACGAAGGAGAGGAAGACCCTTAACCAGGTGGACTGACAGGGTGACTGCTGCAAGGGGCTCTAGCGTGTCAGCAAGTGTGAGGATGGCCCATGACAGGACTAGGTTCAGATCTTTTGTTCATAGGGTCGCTATGAGCCATACTCAACTCAATGGCACCTAACAACAACAACAACAACAACACTATTGACAGTCATAACAGGTTAATTAAGTCTTTGAAACGCAATGGTTGTAGGTCCAAAGTAGTATGGGGGGAAAGAAAAATGGAGCACTGTTGGCATAGTAGCAAGAATCTGTGCTGCAATCCCAAAGGCACTCAGTTCAAGGCCACCAGCTGCTTGGTGGGAGAAGGACAGGCAATCTCCTCCCACGCGATTAACTATGTCTGAAAGCTCACGAGAAGGTCAGCTATGGGTCGGTTCTGATTCGATGGTACCAAACAACAACGATGTTGGGTAGCAATTTATAGGTCAATACGCTTGTAGTTATAATGAGAATTATACAACTGTCCTGTTTGAAAATCCAAAATTGTTTAGTAATGTCAAAACCCAACACGCAAAAGGAAAGTCTGGTGTGTGTTTTTTAAAAAACTAACTGGTCTCCCCTGGCACACATTCTAGTTCTGAGGGTCATGGTGTGTCATCTAAGAAATGTAACTCCCAAGAAGATGTAACAGTATTACAGGGGCTGAGAATCCAAGTAAGTTCTAACACCCATTTTGAAATCTTCAGTCTGAGTATGGGTTTGTATGGGAAGCCAAACTTTATACCAAATATTATATGAAAACCCTTGTTCAGGAATTGAAGGAATTACAGATATATAAGTTAGGATTTCTCTTGTGGCAGATCCTAGAATATGAGCTGTTTGTTCCCTGCAAGACAGGAGACAGCAAGGGGCCCCCTACAGAGGGAGTGTTACTTCCTGAGCTAGAGTTCACCCTGA